ATGCAGTTTACTTTTCTTAAAGAGGGAGCAAAGTTATTATTAATAGAATAAGAAAGGAGGACATGGTATCAGGTTTGAGAAGAGAGCAGGAAGTGGTACATTGAACTTCCAAATCAAGGTGAAGCTGAATACAGCCCTCAGCGGCTGATCTCTGCCTGCTGTGTGCTGGCTGCTCTGTCACTAATCTAGGGAAGGGTAGTCTATTTTCTTGGACTCAGTATGTCAGTCTTCTTAGACTATCCTTGGAGGGTACTGTGAAATTCATCACGACTGTTTCTTCTAACTGAAGACCATATGGAGCATGTCAAGACAATACATGATTATCTTGAATTCCCTTCCTGTACTTTTCTCAGGTGTACAGTTTAAACAGCAAATAAGCATTTATTGAATGCCAATGCATATACAGTGTCCTGTACTCCTCCCAAAGGATATTAAAAAATGAATTAATTTGATGTTAAGGAGCCTACTAAATTTCATTTATTTTTTTATTGAGCATATGATCACCAGAAAGAGAGAGATGGAGAAGAAAGCACCCCTCAATTCCTTTTTCTCTTGATCTTGTTGGAAATTGGGGCATGCATGCACATGTGCCCAGCATGTTTTCCAGTCCTACAGCTGGGACTTGACCCACAGTAAGCCCTATGGGATCTGACATCCTTAACCACAGGACCATGGGGCTGGCCTCAAAATTTCATTTGTAAGTTTGTTTTTTTTTTAAATAGTGTGTCAGTGAATTTAGAAATTACCTTTTTGCTTTTATATAAATTGCTATCAGGTTTCCTTGGAGTGGAGAATTCTAATACTTGTTTACTTGTCTTATATGTCTCCTAAAACTCTCTAAGCTCCATTCTTGATGTTGGAGGGAATTAAAAATTCAGGAGTAGTACCTAGCCAAAATCTGCTGCAGAGAGTTGTTAGACACCAAGTGACAGCTCAGAGTCAGCACCATCATAGTATTCCCAAATGCCTATTGGACTCTAGGCATTTTCAGTCGATGGTTCCTGAAAACACTCTATTACTAGCGTTGATACTGAGCTGAAATATATTGAATTTTTGAACATGGTATTAAATCTAGACTAGTCTTTTCCAGATACAATATAGTTCATAATTGCTTTGTCTAAACATAAAAAGAAAACATTTTATGAAAAATAGAAAACTTAGGAATTTTCTAGATCATTTGGGAAAAAATATTTAAGTAATTCTTTTCTGGAAATGTAATAGAAGGTTATCAAATTGTGGACATATCTGGATTTAGATAAGGTTCTGAATAAAATTTTGTATTTGCAAAGAAAGCTTTTTTATTATATAGGTCTCTTTTCCTGTAGCAGTGTTATGATCATAACCTTTCTAAATTTCTCCTTTTGAAATTCAAAATAGTTTATTTCTTGTCTTTTCTTTTTTCCTACTTTTTTAGTAGTTGGGCTTCTTGGAGCATTTCATGAATGCATTGTGAAGAAGAGTTTGCCTTTGTGTTTGCATCACTGACTTGCCCTCAAACAATGTTTGTTCTTCAAAGCTAAAGCCATTTTGAAATTAGTTATTTTTTATGCCTAAAATAACTTGTCAGTTCCCTACTAATGAGCAAATTGTAGCATTAAATACCTTGTTTACAAAAGGAAAGAAGTAAGAGCACCTAACAGCAGAATGTGTATCATAGAGTAAACCATTTGGGAATAAGAGTGAATAAAAGTTTCATCGACAAGGCCTTCCAGAATTTTTATAAAACATATACTTGCAAAGAGAAAGATGATTACATGTTAACTTTGCTACATTTAATTCAATTACTTCTCTTTCTAGTTTTATTTTTAAAAGTTAGTTATAAATTTCCAAATCAACTGAGACTATGAATTATGACATGTATATAACACAGGCAGCATTTGGGTATTGGATAATCTTTTAATGTATTTTCCTTCATATTCTCCTATGTAGTTTCTGATGAAGAACAATCAGTAGTATATGTTCCAGGTATGATTTTTCTATGTTAAAATTTGGAACTTTAAATTTGCTTCCTTTTCTCCTTAAGTGCTAAATATTTATGACAACTTTGCAGATATAACTGAGTGCAAAATAATTTATCATCACAATGTAAAATTAATTTTTTGGGTATTTGGCATGACCCTAGTAAG